CTGGCCCGAGCTCGCCTCCTGGCCGCCAGCGCTCCGGGATCAGGCTGTCGGGTGGGCAGCGCCCATTCTTTGGAGAGGTCCTTCTGGTTCCCTGGCCCCGAGGGTCCACTTGCCTCGCCTGACGTCTAGCCTGGTTCCGAATCCGGGCCGCTGCCGCGCGGGGCCCCCTGTCGAGGATCCCGCCCCAAAGGGCTACTCCCCAGGACCACGACAGGCCCAGGCGGAGCCGCGGGAAGATCTGGCTTCCCTGCGCAACAGCCCCGTAAAAGACGGACCTGGGGCCTTCCTCCCGCGCCCGTGGGGTGGAGTGGCCCTGTGACGTTCATGTTTGCAAGTTGGCTGTTTATTTCTCGACTGCTTGGGAGGAGGGTGCTAGGCAGGCCAAGGGCCAGGCCAAGGGCCTGGCCCCGGCGGACTGGGCTACGAACTTCTCAAATCCTGAACGCACAGTACAGCACAGACAGGATAGGTTTTCACCATATTTTGATACACACATCTGAGGGGCAGCCAGTTTCTCAGAGCTCTGCCGCTGCGAACAGAGACTTGCCACTTCCTTGAGCTGGCGGTATCCGTGATGTGTACCGTATGAGTGCACACGTGTGTGCAAGCGTGGGCGTGCCTGGCATCCTGTGCGCGGCTGGCGGGCTGCCGGGATAGCCCTTTCTGAATCTTTACAGGCACTTCTGTGCTCCAGCGGGGAAACCAAGGCGGACTCGCCAGGCCTTCCTCCCCTGGGCGCTGAGCAAGCTGCCGCCACGCGACGCGGGGCTGTGGGCAAACGAAGGGCGCGCCTTTTCCCAGGGTCGCCTCTGGCTCCCGCAGTGGCTGGGGGCGAGCGTGACCCTTCCCCCCTTACAGCGGAGGGGCCGGCGCCCCACCGGGTGCCCCTGGCCCTCACCCCACTAACGTGCTGTAGACCCCGCACTGCGCAACGAGGGCCTCAGGGAAAGCCACCCCGGGGCCCAGGGTGCCGTTGGTGACACTCTTTCTCGCTGCCACAACCACTGCCATACCCGCAAACCCACGCACGAAGCCGCATTTCGGGCCAGGAGAGTGGGCCAGACTCGCCGAGTCCGAACCATCGTCTCCCTCGCGCCTAGTGGAAACGAGGCGCGCCCACGCGTAGAAATCGAGCTCCCTCTGCGCCACGCGAACTGCAGTGCCGAATAGACGGGTTTCACACGCACACGGATACTGCACTGCATCTTGACGCTCTGCATCAAGTGGTTGTAAAAGCGCTTTATGGAATGCGCTTCGCGGCACAAAGACACTCGGAGGGCAGTCTGTCGAGGGACAAGGATTTCAGCGGCTCCCCCCTTGGCCCGTCCGCCCGGCCGGATAGGGTCGCGGCTGCCTACCCGCGCGCTGCCGCGCCCCTGGGAAGTTTGCTTTGGCGACTTGCGCGGGCCCTTCGCCCTCCCCTCTCCCTCCGCGCGCACGCACGCAGACGGGGCCTGAGCCCACTCGGCCCTGCGCCGGCCGCGGGAGGCGGCGCCCTTGGCGCTCAGCCGCTGCCATCCTCCTCCCACCCCCCACACCCCAGAAACCCTAATGGCCTTTACTCAGCCACTGCCTCGTTAAATCTCCCCCACCCTCAACAACCGGCGAACTTTTCAACGGTTCCAAGCTGCAGTCCCGGGGGCTGGGGAGGGTCCTGGAAGGGGGCGGGGCGAGCAGGGCGGGGGCGGGGCGCTGGGCGAGTGGGCGGAGCCTCGAGTGTTCCCGATATCGCCCTGCGCTAGAAGTTCTGGCGCCGGCAAAGCCAGCGAAGGGGGCGGGGCTCGGCCGAGATTCCCCGCTTTGGGGCGCCCCTCGAGTCTCCCAAGCCCCAGGCACTTCGTCCCCGCGCAGCGCCTCGGCCTTGTCGCGTTATTCTCCCGCCACCAGTCTGGCCTCGTGCGTGATGTCACACCCACTTTCCCTGGGGTGCCAGCGGCGCCCACCGTTTCCCCTCATGAGTCCCGGGCCCCTTGAACTGAGCAAAGACTTCTTTTCACATCCGCCCTCTTTCTCTGCAGCCGGGCGTCGTTCCGGGACAGCAGGGGCGGGGAAGCAGAAGAGAGTTCTGGAAAAAGGGCTCGTCCTGGGATAGAACTGCACCAGCTCCGCGAGAACAAACACTCTGGGGAAAAGAAACTGTTATCCCTTGAATGTTGCTCTAATAAACTAAAAGGATTTCCTCAGCCTTTTTTGGGTTTGTTTTTAATTTTAAATCGCAGGAGAAAGGTTATCTTCCAACTGTTTTAAAGTCGGGACTGCTTTCCTTTTACCTGGGCGGGTACGTGTTTCTTTTTTCCTTTGCACAAAAAGCAGAGTCTGCAGGCCGACCGTTGAGACATTCTTTCACAATGGGGGGGAGGCGTGCCCGACGGCCTCAGCCCCCCACGCCCTCCTGCTGCGCGGCGCAGGGTGTCCCGCTCGCTCCGGAGCCCCGAGCGCGCACGCGCTCCTGGGCGCAGGGCGGGAGCCCAGAACTCCCCCGGGGACTTTACGGCAGTGGACAGGCCGAGGCCAGAGCGGGAGTGAGCGGCTGCGCCCGGGCCTCCAGGGGCGAGAGGCCCAGTGGGGAGTGCTGCGAGGGCGCTCTTTTCTAGTCCTTCCCTTCGGAAGTGGGGGGGTGGGGTCGCTGCTCAGTGGGAGCATCCGTTTGGATGAAGTAATGCAGGAGCAACACCCCCACCCCAAAATGTGAGGGCGCGCTCGGCCTAGTGTCTCCTCTGGAATCTGCACTGGTGGGAGCGCTCGCTCCCGGGCGTGACGCCACTGCTGGCTTCCAGAGTTTCAGAGCATGAAAGACGGAGCAGCACCTGCCTGGTCTGCACAAGGCCAGCAGGGTTGCAGGCCGTTCTACGCCCGTTTGCTCCAAAAGGCCTCAAGTCTCTGAGGAACCTCAGGCCGTCCACTGCCCACATGATGTGAGGACGTGACCGTCTAGGCCCTTCCTTCTGCTCGGCGGCGTCCCCCGGGGCCGCCTGATGCACGTTCCCTCACCCCCGGTCACACGCGGTCTCTGAGCTCTGCCCCCTGCCCCGCGCCCCAGAGGGTGGCTTCGGGGATGCCATGGGGGGGGTGCACACGAGTTTCTCCCCAGTTAATTGAGGGAGAAGAAGGGCATTACTGTCACCTTAAAAGAGCGATTGCTGGTTGTCCCACCGCCTCGATAGACATTTGTTCCTCCCTTCCCCTTAGAAGCTGGTCAAAGAGCGATGCCAAGAGGCACGGACAGGGTGAGAGCTGAGAAGTTCATCCGTGAGGAGAGGGTTTACGTTTTCCTGCAAGGGGTTTCTGCACGCCCTGGCCTCCAGCGACACGGCGGTTGCGATTAAAACGGCAAAATAGGAACCCTGACCTGCCCCTCCAAGAGCGTCTAGCAAAGCAGAAAATTTCCTGACGTATACATCCGGGACAATATGAAACCGTCCTTTTGATTAAATGTTGCTTGCAGTGAGGAGCAGCCACCAGCACTCCCAGATGTGAAGGCAGAACATCCTCAGTTTCTCAGCAAGGACACCTGCATTCCCAGCTTTTAGATATACACACACCATGTGATTGTGTGTGTGCCAAGAGAAAGAGAACCACATACGCACGTCATCTTTCACCCTTTCACTGTTAATACCTGTCACAATTCTACCTGGTTAATTGTGGTTTGAAAACACACACACACACACACACACACACTCCCCACCCACAGCAGAACGCGAGTGGATCCAGTCTAGTCAGGTTACATTTGTAATTCTCCCCTCCTCCCTTTCCAATTTCTTTGATGATTTTTCCCATAAGTGTATAAGCTGCTGGGACTTAGTAGAAGTGAGCCGCTCCTCCTAAATGTGATTCGGACCATATGCTTTCTACATTCATTCCCGCTCCAGGCTTTTCTTCTCTGCACTAACTGCTAACACGTTATAGTCACCTTGAAATTTCCTCTGCTATTTTCCAATTAAAAGCTTAATAGCCCTGGAAACGGAGTTCATGTGGTGAAGTTTACCATAGCCCCTTGTTCTGAAAGGCTTTCTGCTGGGATCCCATTATGTGCTTGAATAAACCCTTTCTGCAAACAGAAATGGGACTTGGGGTTGTCAGGTGTTGGGTTACAATAGACTTTGAGGCAGGGGACATTTTACCAACATAAATACAAACCTGTCCCTATAGGGAGATGTTGTCAAATACTGGGATATGGAAAACATTCCCATCAAATATGAGAAAAGGATTATTGCGCTATATCAAATGAGTATTTAGATCTCAGCCCCCGATGTGCACTGGAGTGAAACGGGGCCCCGGAGCAAATAATGCCAGACTGTTTGAGTGGCAAAGGGATAGGGTGGCTAGGTGACCGAGGAAGGAAAGGGGGTCATCTTGGTAGTGGGAATGCCCTCAAACCTGGTGCAGAGCTCTGATGCTTTCCTTTAAAAAATTCTTTACTCCCAAGGCCCTTATACTCCCCCGGGTTCGCTGACCATTTGGAGAAAATCGGGAGAAATTTGGCTTTGAAAAAAGTCCATGTTCCTCGCGTTCCCAAGCGACCTGGAGATGTCAGTGCGGAGGTTCCCAGATTCAGTGTCATTCTAGGCCCTGTAGGTCTCTCATCACTTGAAGTGACTGGCTGCCAACTCCCCAATTCCTGGCCTCTGGCCCACCAGGCTGTGGGCGACCTCTGCCTCCAGTCCGGAGAACATATGAAGTTCCTTCTCGTTGTAGTGTTTTAGGGCTTGTTTTCCTAGCGAAAGTTGGGAGGAGAGGAGATATTGAAGTGGGGGGGGGGGGGGGGGGGTAAGGGGCAAGACCCAGGTGTCCCTGCCCGACGCAGCTTTGAGGGGAGCCCTCCCAGGGTTAGCACGCTTGTGCAAGAGTTTCCCGCCCACGTCCCACCAGGGCAGCCTCCAGCGATCCCCAGCTCCCGGACAGGGCTGAAACGGGGGACGCCTAAGGGCTTCAAAGGAAACGCACTCAAGGTTCCCTTTTTAACCCTCCTGCCTCCCAGAATCACCCTTCTAGGCGGAGGGTTGGCTAGTAGAATGCGTGGCTGTACTTTTACTTGAATTCACAGAGAACACAGAAGAGACAGAAGAGACGTTTTCGGGTTGCCTGCTTGCTTCCAGGACAGTACAGAGAAAAGTGGCCTCCCCGAGGGAACAAGGGCCGTGGTGAAGCCTCAGGGTTGGCCATTGCAGTGAACTCGTCTCTGCTCTCCTCTCGAATTCGATTCGCTCATACCGCCTAGTGATAAGCTCATGTCCGCTCTCAGAAGCTTGGGGACCGACGGCTCCGGGATTGCCATCTCACCCGCTTCGCACAGAGCCATTGAGCTACCCTGCGCCGCTGAATCCACCTGTTTTTTGTCTTTGTGTTTTGATTTGAGGTCCCTGTGTATTGGTGGCAGTAGTCTGCATTAGGTCAAACGGGTACTCGGAGGAGATTAAAAATATGCAAATAACAGTTTAAACAAAGTTTCATACTATCCAAAGACGCTGGGGGCGGCAGGGACGAAGTGACCCCATCCTTTATCTATAACTAAATCACTGAGTCCGTGGGGGTTTGAACTGCGTGACGCGAGACCTCCGTTTGCTGGTTCAGTGGCTGCTGGGGAGAGGGAAGGTCATGTCCGGTAACTTTCCAGACGCTAACGTGGCTCCTTGGTCCACTCTGAAAGTTTAGATGCAGTACTTGAGCAAATCCTCCACACGAACACTTCCCCGGCCTTTCAGGACAGAGACTTGTTTTTTACTAAAACGTGGTGAAGAGTGTAGAAAAATAAACTCAGCGCCAAAGGAGGAGGACTGTTTTTCCCTTTGAAATAGCCTGCAAAATGGGTTGTCATCTTGGGCCAGCAGGTTTTCAACAACATTCATTTTCTTCTACAGCAGCAAGACAAAATATGTTGCAAAAGGAAATCAAGAAAGAGCCCAAATTTTACAAATCACCGCCCTACTGCCAGTGGCCCTGCGCGGGGCCTGGCTCGCCCCAACTTAAGACCCTCTCGGCTCCTGCCGGGTCCCCAGTGCACCTGCCACGCTCCAGTAGGCTCTGGCTCTCGCCGAGCCGAGTTTCTCGGCAAAGTGTTGGGATAAAAGCGGCCTCGGGCCTGGTGCCGCCAAATCAGCCTGGAGGGAGAAAAGAAGAGCGTTGGGGAACGGCCACTTAACTCGCCTACGGGCACCCCACCCTCACCCCCGCCGGGCCTCCCCATCCCCGCCCCGTGTGCACCGCCGCGTCCCGAAGCGCCGCAGTCCCTCCCGCCGCGGGCAGGGGAAACGCAGAGAACTTGGCGGAGGGGGCCGTGAGCGCCCCCGCGAGAGGAGCCTGGCTGCAGGTGGCAAGGAAGGTGAAGTGCAGGGACTCGAGAGGCACAAGGAAGGAGAAAGGCGTGGAGTAGGGTGGGAAGTGCAAGGAGACCCGGACCTCGGGGGGTGGGGGTGACGTGAGGGAGGGAGGAGTGGGGGGAGGGCGGTGGAGGAGGCGCTGGGCCTGGCCAGCGCGCGCGGGAGCTGCAGACGAGCACGCTCAGACCCTAACCCGAGCTGTCGCCGGCTCCTCGCAGCCGCGGCAGCGCCTTGGCGAGGGAGGACGTGCCGGCCAAAGCAGCGGCTGGCGGAGACGTGACCAGCGTGGGATTGGCGGAGCACCAGCGGGAGACTGAGGCTGCGAGCGCCGCAAAGACGGGTGCCGCATCTCTGGCCAGCCCGGAGCGCACGCGGCCGCCGGAGCTGCGGGACCAAGGACCGCGCCGTCCGGAGGCCGCCCCTGAGCGCGCCTCCCAGCCCCGCCGTCCAGCGCCCCCTGGCCCGCTCCCGCCGCCAGCCCGCCAGCTCTTCCGGGAGCTCAGGGCATGAACGGCTACGGTTCCCCCTACCTGTACATGGGCGGCCCGGTGTCGCAGCCGCCGCGGGCGCCCTTGCAGCGCACGCCCAAGTGCGCGCGCTGCCGCAACCACGGGGTGCTGTCCTGGCTCAAGGGTCACAAGCGCTACTGCCGCTTCAAGGACTGCACCTGCGAGAAGTGCATCCTCATCATCGAGCGGCAGAGGGTCATGGCGGCGCAGGTGGCGCTGCGCCGGCAGCAAGCTAACGAGAGCCTCGAGAGCCTCATTCCCGACTCGCTGCGTGCTCTGCCCGGCCCCCCGCCGCCGGGGGACGCCGCCGCTGCCGCCCCGCAGCCGCCGCCCACCTCGCAGCCGTCTCAGCCGCCGCCGCCGCAGCGTCCCGCCGCCGAGTTGGCTGCGGCTGCCGCGCTGCGCTGGGCCACCGAGCCGCAGCCCGGGGCGCTGCAGGCGCAGCTCGCCAAGCCAGGTAAGAGCTTCCGCGGGGCGGGCGCCAGGCCAGGCGCGTGGGCGCAAAAACTTCGGAGCTCTTGCTGCGGCTCTGCTTGGGAGGCCTGGAGGCAAGGTTTCGGAAGTTGGCCTGGCCGGGCCTTCCTCCCCAATCCCCGGCAAGCCGGTTCTTTCCGGGCAGAAGCCGGCCATCAGTCTGGATACCGGGCAGGTAGAAGCCAGGCGCCCGTGGGAAAGGCGCCACGGGCGCGCCAAATGGCTGGACTGTGTGTCCGGATCCCAAGTGCCTTCCCCAGGTTAAACGGGGACTTATTCGTTTCAGTGGTAAAGAGATCGAGACGGCACCAAATTAAAATCCGAGCGGGCACACACAGCCCCTGCGCGGCAGGGCTTTTCTGGCGGCGGGCTTAGAGGGCCTTGCATTTGGAGGTTGGGACGGGTAGTTCCAGGAAAAGCGCCAGGGCCCAAGGCTTGTCTGACTTTGACCTGGGCGTGCTTCTCGGCCCCGGCCCGGCCCGGGGTTAACTAGAGCGACCCCGAAGCCTTTCTAGTAGCACTCTGTGGTCTCCACTCTCTTGCAATTCGTTGAAAGAAGCCCCATTTAGAAGCAGTAGTAAAAAAGGCCAGAAAGGTGCCTAAACTGATAGCGAGGACCCAGAATCTGGCGCGCCCAGAGTCAGTTCCTTTTGCAGAACCGCTCAGGTCTTTGACGACTGTTCCTTAGGCCGCCCTCAGCAGTGTTTGTGGTTTAAAGAAATAAAAACAAAACAATCTACAGCGCGGAAGCCCTTTCCCCCGTTCGAGGCGGGGAAATCTGCTAAACTGCCAGTTTGGAGCCAACGATCTCAGACTCCTCTTCCTTCTCCTTCCCTCTCGTCCTTTGCTGTGCTTTAGAGAGAATTTACCCTGAGCCCTAGGGTAGACAGATTCCCCCCCCTCCCCCCAAGCCTCTATCTCCTTCCCCACTCCAGGCCTCCGGAGCCTGCGGCGCTGGCAGTTGAGTCTCTTTCCTCATGAGGAATCTCTAGCTTGCCATCCTGCCCAGCCCAAGTGTTCCTTTGATTTTAGGATCTTGGAATTCAATGGACTTGTGGATGGTGTTTCTTCTTCACTTGGGCGGATGTACAAAGGCAAAGAGGCAGTCTCTCCGGAAGGGGATTAGAGGATATGTTGGAATTCACAGAGAGAAGGCCTGGAAGGCCCAGAGCTCTGTGTACGTGGAACTGTGGTAGAACTTCTGCCTCCCCCTCCCCCCAAAAAAGACAGCACCTCTGGCTTCTGGAGAGAGGCTTCCAGGAGCACTGGGCTGCTGTGTGGAGCTGGGGGAAATGCAGACTTACTGGTTTGGGGGTGAGTTGATAGGCAGCCTGGCAGGCATAGATGTGCTGCCCTCTTGCTCAGTTATGCTCTCCAGGCCTGAAGCTTTGAGAACATCTTATGAGAAGAGCACAGCTGGGTATTTTAAGGACAGAAGAGAGGTTGCTGAGCATGGATTTTGTGGCAATTTAATCCAAGGTAGGATGCAAGCATTTCTCTGAGTAATGCCCCTCCCCACCCCCACAGTTCTCTTTTGTCAGTTAGTTTATAGATATGCCACAGAGGAATGGAGGGTATCGTGTTTTGTTTTTCTCCTTTAGGTTAGAACAAGTAAGTAGAAAAGTGTCTCAGTTCTGGAAGTTGATCCATGCCAGTAACTTCCCAACCTTTCTGTTTCCAGTTTCCCTGTCTCCATTTCCCCCAGTACCAGGGCAGGAGGCTGAGTTCATGTCAGTGGTAGCATTTTGCAGTGGCCGCTTGCCCAGCGGCACCCCTGTAATAGGGGCATTGGGTTCTGGGGTCCTTGTCCAAGAATCCTTTCCCATCCTTTGCTCTTCAAACCATTCCGGCATAGCCAAGTTGGTGGTTTCTGAAGAGTCAGAAAACCAAACACAACCCTGGGAGGTGGGTGGTGAGGGCAGGAAGGAAAGCCAGAGAGCAGCTGCAGCAGCAGAAGGATACATAGTTTGGGAGAATGAAAGAGGGAGACTGATTTCAACTGGACAAACCAGGCCTGGTGCTCTCTCTTTTCCTCCCACCTAGTATTCAAGAATAGCCTGAGCCCTCCAAACTGAAAACAAGTGATTGCAAAGGAGAATAGGATTTATCAGAAGGAGAGGTCAGAGTGATGTCTTTAGGAGACTGAGCCATCAGGGACCAAGGCTCCGTTCCCACCTGGCCATGCTGCATACCTTGCACATTCATTTATATAAGTTTTGTTTTTCTTCTTTAAATTGATTTGACCCCATAATTCCATTCTTTAAAAAAAGGCAGCCTATCATCAATCCAATGAGGGGGGCAAGAAAATAACAGATAATTGTTTTCCACTAGGAAGGCAAGCACACAAGCGGATCATTTCTGTACAATGCTTTGTAAGAAAGCCCATTTGGAGTTTAAGTTTAGAGAAAACTTCGTGGATGAGACTAGCTGGTGCTGTCTGTATTAGGCCTTTTTTTGCAGTTGTTCTTATAATGTATTTGTATGTAACACACCACGGATATTTAGAAGTATATCAGATACTCCTGGACAAGCAGCTCCCCGCAGGTAGAGAACTGAGTGAAGCTCTGTTCTAGTGGTAGGTCTCCATGTACAGTAAGTTCACAGGCCATGAGGAATCTCTGAACATCTGCTGGCAAATCGTGGAGCTCTGTTTCTTTCTGATCTCTGTGTCCCAAACGTGGGTTGTTCTTTTGCAAAGGGCCTCATTAGTACATAGCTTGTAGAGACATATGCTTTTTTTGTTGGATACAAATGCAGGTGGACAAGTCTTTTTCCCTCATCAGAAATTCTTGAGAAAAAAGTACAGGCCCTAAAGAAGGGTATGTTTGCTGGGCACCACTGGAGGAAAAAACACCCAGTTCAGGGAGCGACACATTAACACCAAAACTTGGTTGTGTAGCTGGGTGAAATCTCTTCAGTTTCTTTAAAGGAAGAGAGGTTATTTTATCTAACGGTGTAGTGTGTTGAACATCCCTTTCAACGTGGTGGTGGTTTTAAGGAGAATATTCATATTCTAATGGTTATTACTTCTAGCTATGGATTGAAGCATTTTTTTCTTTTGGGGTGTAGATTTCCCATGCTTCTTGATTATCATCTATGACTGGCCTGGAATTATTAGATTGTGATTCACTTATTCTCCTAAATTCCCTCTTCATCCTCCTCACACCCCTTCCCCCCCCCCCCCCCCCCCCGAAAATGTGGGAAGCTGAGCATGTTTCAGCTCTTAGTGTATCTGAGTCAGCACCGTCAACCCGCCAAGCCAGCCTTTCAGGACCTGGGCTTGAGAGCTGAGGAAAGTTAAGGGTCACGACCAAGGTGAGAAGCTAAAGTTACATTCCTGAGTTCTCGCTCCCTTCTCCCACCCCCAACTTTTCCTCCAGGAGGTGGGGGTGCTGTGAGAGGAGCGATCTGTGGCTATAGATACTTCTAGGTTCTACATGTGCCCCATCAAAATAAACATGTACACAAGTTCTTTAAAGTGTCCTTAAGGGTAAAAGAAATTGAAAACATCCTATTTGGTTAGGAATAGGAGAGCAGGGTCAAATAGGAGTGTAGAATCTCCTTTCCTGTTTATTTCTCCTGAAAAGGAGAGAACAAGAGAACTATAGGGAGAGAAGTTAGGAGATTTGGGAAAAGTGCCTTTGTTTTATCTTGTCTCCTGCCCGGCAAGGCACCTCCTAGCATCTTTATGCGTGCTCTGGGCCTTTGGGCTCCTGTTTGACTGAGTCCTGTCCAGTCTGCTTCCTTATTTTTATTTTTAACTTAAAGAGAGAGAGGTATCTGCAGATATACTGAGTGTTACGGGATTATCGGTGCAGGCCAGGATGGGAGACCCTCTGTGACAATAGGCTAGAAGCAGACAAAAAGTAGGGAAGACTTCAGTCATTCATGAAGTGAACCTCTGATTTAAAAACGGGGTCTGGTTTTAAGATGACTTCATTTGGGGCGAGGGGCCTGACTCAGAGTTGCACTTTAAAACACAAAACGGCCTAAATGAAAAGGGATAAGCGGTACCAGACTACTGGTCTCTTCCAAACCTTGCCCAGGGCTGGCTGTTGGGAGTGGGACCCCGGGACGCTCACAGCTCCCGGCCTCTCCCGCGGGCGCCGGGCGATCTGCGCGCCAGGCTCCTGAGCCCCCGCGGCCGAGCGCCGGGCGGTGTGCGGGGCAGCGGGCCCGGCCCCCGGTGGCCCGCGGCGCAGGGGCTGTCCTCTCCCCGAGCGGCGCTCCGGGAACCCGGGACAGGCGCGGGCGGCGGCGCGCGGCTCCCCTGCGGCTGCCCTGGCCGCTGTTCCCTTGCCCCCAGCCGCGGGCCGCCTGCGCTCGGGCGCGTTGGCCGCCGCTCCCGGGACGCCCCTGCTCGCCGCACGCCGCCGCGGCCCGGGCTGCCTCCCCGCTCCCTGCCGGCGACCCGGGACGCGGCCGGGAGCGAGACGCCGGCGCCCGCCCCGGGCCGGCCTCCCGAGCCTCGGTGGGTTGTCAAATTTAACAAAAAACATGCAAATACACGCAAAAAACCACCCCAGGATGCCAAATATTGCATGGGGCATACTTATACGAAAAAATTCGTTGTTTATCCGAAGTTCATATTTAACTGGGCATCCTGCTATTTCCGCTGCCAACCCTAGGCCGAGGCGGTCCCCATCGAGCCCCAATCGCCTTGCAAGGCGCCCTGGGCGTGGGGGGCACTGGTGCGCGTCTCCCCGCCGCTTTCTCTCCGTGGAGCCCGAGCTGCCCCGGGCAGGCATCGGAGAGGCGCTGGTGACCATGTTGTGGGTCTGAGGACAGGGATGAAAGCAAAAACGAGAGCGTTTTCGGCGTCTAGGAACCAGAGTTCCACTCGCGGGGAAAAATCTCTCCCCACAGCACACTCCTCCGGGTTATAAATCTGGCGGATAGCCATGCTCTCGACTTACACAACCAACTTTTCTTTTTCCCTGATGGATGAACTCCCGGGTTTAAAAGATTACAGTAATCACAGGA